GCTGCAAACATTTGAAGGCCACCTGCAGACAATGGCAATGTGATTTTGCTCCATTTTGGTGGTACAAAAGGCTTTTCTAGATTCCTATTCCTTATTTGCAGTTTACACTCGTGACAAAAAAAGATCACAGGCCTCTCTCCAAAGGCAAAAGATTTGTATAAACTGTTGATATATTAACATTTTATTTTTTCTTCTGTATTTCAGCACCTTGACTCCAAACTTGGACTCATAAAGTTAAATATCTACCCTATGGTATCCTTATCACTAAACTGCATTATTTAGGAGGCTTAGGAAGCGTGGCTGCTGTACGAGTGGCTGGGCAGCACGAGCAACTGAGGGCAGAGGTGGTTTGGCCTCTTTCTCCTCTGTGCCTCCCACTGCTCTCGGACAAGCAGCGTTTGGAGAAAATCTGATGACCTGAGCTGTGCGTCGAGTACTGAGGCTAAGGCAGCCGTGTGCTTTATGGTACAGAGCTCTTCCCACAGGAAAGGGAGTTTCCTTCCAGGGAAGGCAGGGAGGATGTTCCCCTCCTCAGCGCAAGGCACAAAGGGACTCCGTTTCCAGGATAGCCGAGTTAGCTGGATATACGTTGGGGAATGGCTCCTGTCCCTATCGGATGCAACGTGGGATTCAGTGCTAACGTGCGTGTCATCACTTTCAGGATGAGGAGGGAAATGCTGAACCTTTCGTCGTAATGCTCAGAAACCAGTATGTAAGCGAGAAGCAGGAGTACGTGAGAGAGCTGGGGAGCAAGCTGGGGGACTTGATGTAAGTATGAAGGAGAAGGGGCCGAGCCCCGTTACACGAGGGCTGTCCATCTCCACCAGCACGGGCAAGCAGCAGCATCACTCCGGAGTTCAGGGAAAATAATCTTCCCGAGTCCAGTCTTCCTGTGTGAGCAGCTCAGTGGCATTCCCAGAAAAGGCCTGCAAGAAGGGCCTGGGGAGAGCAGGGAGGAGGCCGGGAGAACTGAAGAACATTTCTGAGGAATGGGGCTGGCAGTACAAGACCAGGCCTGAAGGAGCCCAAACAGGACCAGGGGTGCAGAATGGTGACTAGGACTTGCTGAGGAAGCCCAGGAGAAAAGAACAAGCCGGGAGTGGACAGGCTGGCTGAGCCGAGCTGGAGAGGGGAGCCCAAGGGAAGGGAGAGGTGGGACAGGGACACCCTGTACGGGACGTGGCGGACAGCAGAGAGTTGCTTGGCTCTACTATCAGTGCCCTCCAGTCTCTAAAGTCTCACATCTCACCATTCTTTGACTTCTCAAAACCATCCCTGATGTTCTCCCTGTTCTCAGAGACTGTGTCCTGGCCATCCCTGCTGTCACTCTGCATGCATTTCCCCCTTGAGCCATGCAGCAAAAGCTTCTGTGCTGCCCCTGCAGCTGAAAGAGTGACCCAAAGCAGGCGGCCCTCTCACCTCGTAGACTGAGAATCTGCTCTTCAGGCTTGGTTGCAGAGCGAGGGTGTTATTCTAAATATTTACAGACTTTGCCAAAAAAAAGCATTAACGTTGCTAAGTCAAGTATTGGCAAGATCCATTTTGGTCACTGCACAGAAGTGGTTCTGAGGACCAGTGAAGAGAATTTTAGTTTAGTAGTAGATAGTAGTTTAAATATTCCTGCCATATAACACAGCATAGCAGTGACTGAGGTGTTTTTGAACAGAGAGGTGAACGTAGATGATCTGAAGTCGGCCTTCCACGCCATCGATCCCGATATTGATGAGCAGACATTAGATATCTACATTGGCCTGGCTTTCCAGGTTGGAAAAGAGCAGACAGATCAAGATGTCCTGCCTGTGGAAACGGCGCTCGAGAGACTGATGGCTGGAGATGTAAGACGAGTAGGACCCTCACCCGGAGAGGAGAGCAAGACAGAGTGTGAGGAAGGCGAGTAGGCGCCTTCTAGTACTGTGAATAAGAGACTGTTTGAACAAAGCTATGAGTCAGAGCTCCTGCACTAAATACCTCTTTCCATGTACGCACAGACCTAGGAGCACATGTAGACACCTGGTAACTAACAGCTGAGAGGGTGAGTTGGTTTGAACCATCAGAAGCACCGTCAGCTCCAGCAGCAAAGCGTTCAGCACAATTCTGTGACCCGCATGCAGTCATTTTAGCTCAGCAAGCCTTGCATAGGTCAGACTGATGGATTAACAGAGGATTAACATCCTCGCAGCACGAGGGCACCCAGCAAATGGGCATTCTGCCTGGAAACAATTCCATAGGGACTTCTCTCCAGCATATAGCCCTCTCCAGGAGGGGGACTAAAGAGCTCCTAAAGCAAAACCCCAGTAGGAAAGCAGGGCTGCTATGTTTATACTGGAAACCTTGGGCAAGTGGAGCAAACACTAGAACCGATTACCCGAATTGCTCCTCTTCTCTCAACACGGTTTGAAAAGTAGAAAAGGGAAATCTGAAATCAGAACATGCCATCCAAAAAATAACAAAGTTATTTTTAAAATAACTTTTTAAATTGTCATTTTAAAACTTTTTATTTTTTAAAAAATAATTTATTTTTAATTTATTTTAAAATTTTTAAAATAGCGAAGTTGGTTTTGCAAGCATTTTCAAGGAGACTCCTGCAAAACTCTGGTGTAATTTGCAAGGTATTTTTAAAAGTAAAGTCTTCCTAGTATGTCTCAAATCAACAAAGGTGTTTTTTTAAAATTCCTTTTGAATACTGCAAAAAATAATCTCCATTGGTTTAATAATGACTTCCTTTTGAAAATGACCGATATTCCTGACCTGGGTATTAGGTCTGCCTGCCAGAAATTTCATTTCCTTTAGTGTTGGGCAAAACCTGTTTAACTTGTAAATGTTGCTGCCAAGAACTACCAGGGCTGGGTTGTATTTTGTGGACTCTTTATTTACCGTAGCCCTCGGAGCCCCAACTCTAGAAGCCTGAGAAACAAAAAGACACCATCAGTGAGCAGCACTTCTTGGATGTAAAAGAAAAGAAGGAAAAATCTGCAGTGCTGGAAAAGCAAAGGCAGCTGCACCACTCTTTCAGTCTGGACATTGGGCACCTGTACTTTCCCCAACGGAATTTATAGGCATTTCACCAAAAGTGCCCTAAAATATTCCAGAGCATGCCCACTGCAACTAGCAGTTTCAAATGCATCCAGGAATGCTGTTACTTCTGCCTCAAGACACACAATCCCAAGCCAAGGACTGGTATTTGCAGATGAGATTTAGGAACAGACTCATTAGTGGGGAACAAATAGCCAGTCGTAGGAATTCCCTGTGGCAAATGTGGTGTATTCAGACTGCACCAGTGCAATCGGTCTGTGCACGTCAGAAAAGCCACCTGAGTGACGACCTTTGCGCTGAGCTTTGGTTTATCCCAACTAGAAGTGCTAAATATCTTCAGCCCCACTCTGTCCCACCTAAGGAGTTCCACAAAGCAGCATTGTTCAGATGTCCCTTTCTCCTTTACATTTGGAAAGTAATTAGATGCTAAAGGCTTGAGTTTTTCACCTCCAAGATAGAGCAGCATAAAAAAAATCATGTTTTTTTCCCCACAGAAAATACTCAGTTTCAGAACCTTACCTTGGGTATTACAGACGAAGTGAGCCCAGGTAAATCGTGCCAGCAAATCACTGTAGCCTCCTGGGCAAACACTGACCACTCGGTGAAAAACGTGCAGGAGTTTGATACCCATCTTTCTGCTAGTGGCATGAGCTGACAGGGGTCATTGTTTCCCAATTTGTGAATTGTTTCAGAAAGCCACTGTTCTTTGTACCTCACAGATCCTTGCATGCGCCTCGCCATAGTCATAGTGCGGTTTAGGTTCGCTGTATGGACCCAAATGCCCTGTAAAGGGCACCATTTTCTTCTTGCTGTCTCTTCCCTACATGAAGGACACACGGGTTTTCTTTCTCCTGTTTGGCAGTCTTCACTGGGGACCATGATGCTCTTCATCCCCTCTGTGTAGTTACCAAACGATCACATCAAATTACTAGCAGAAAAGCTTAGTAGAGGTAGGAGCGCTAGGAGCAGAAGCCACCTGGAAGGGCTGTCAAACATGCAGAGGACTTAATTTTCACTTGCTGGTTCTTTATAATGTCACTGCATGGAACCAGGAGGTACGTGGAGCTCTGATGCTGCTTCGGGTCCAGTAGCGCCGTGGTGCGTGGAGCAGGCTGACAAACACAGCGAAGCGCAGGGGCACCTCTCAGCTTCGGACCTTGCTTCGCGGAGCAGTGTCCGGCACTGCCGTCCTTCTCGAGGACACTGCCCGACCACATTCATAATTTTCCAGCTACATTTTTGGGAATACACAATTTCAGGTTAAACTTGGAGGGTCGGAGTGCCATCATTTCTGATCCAGAAGGGAGTCAGTGATTAAGAAAATACTGTGTTGGGTTAACTACTTAAGATCTTCAGACAGTTGGTACTTTCCATTGCTACAAGAATTCCTTACTGCCAGTAGCAGACAGTAAACCTGTCTTGGTCTTTACCACTCCACTATCTACCACACATGAAACAGAACAGCTGCCTTACTCCAAGGGTCTGAAATTACCGCTTGCTAATTCTCCACGACTTTCTTTATATGTATTTTCCAGTTCCAATTGACATCAATAAATAACTGTTGTCATCAGCTAATTATGACCATCTCCTGATGCAGCAGACTAGAGCAGATTTGCACAGGGGGCAAGGCCCGGGTTCAGAAGTGCTAGATAAATACATAAGCTGCAACAAGAGGATCTTACCCCTTTCACAGGACAGCACACAACCTTTCTCCTTTGAAGTACCTAGTCAGTATGAAGAGCATCAATACAGTCTATTAGGAACATTTTGAACAATGCAAGAGGCAGACACACAGAATCTTTCAGCTTACTGAAGTAAACAGCGTCATCGTGCAGAATACATATCAAATTTTATTCAATTAAACTGTCCAAATACTCATAAGTAACATACACAAAAATAAATGATAATCAAATTATGTATAGTAACAGTGAGATCCAGTAGGCTGGCATGATAGTTAGAACAGAATTTGAATCAACTCATGGGCATCTCTAGTAGTAGCTTATTGTCCCATTAGTATTCTGTGGAAAAGCATCCTACTGACCAGTTATATGGAGAAACGTAAAGCCAGTCTCCACGAGCAGGCAGTGTTTCCATCCATGGGCATCATCACTGCCATAGTGATGGGCTCACTTGCATGGAATTATTTTATTGCCACTTACAGCAACTGGAATCAGTAGTTTCCTGTATTCCAGAGGAAGATGACGCTCTATCAGCACATGTAATGGCATCTTGTCTGTCACCAGCCCTTGTCTTTGTGCAAAAAAGAGGAAAGAAGAACACGAAATCGTTAGCAAAGTTTCCCTCAAACTTAGTTTTATATTAAAGATTCTTTAAGTTTGTTTGCAGTGACATTTTTGCCTTGAATATCTGAATGTTGTTCCTGCCTGTGACAGGACTGACCTCAAAAAAAAAAAAAAAAAAAAAAAAAAAAAAAAATCTCCTGGTATTATAGAAGAAAGAAAAAAAAAAAGCTGTCTTATTCCATGTTTTCCTTATGGAAGGAAATGAAATACTGTTCTTGTTCATGGACAATAATGCCTGATCCCTGGATAAGGCAGTGAAATAACAAAGGCACAGAGCCCCCAAGCCCGGCAAGTTACCCCATCACACATCTCAGCCTGTCCATACTAATTCCAACACTCAGATAGAAAAATCAAAATCTAAGGAGAGCAACAGATTAATCACAAAGTGGGAAGAGCTCCATCTGCACAGGCCCAGATATGCCCTCCCAAATCCCTCCGATTTCTTTAATGATGCATTAGAAACTCTTCCAGAAGGGAGCAGGCCTAACAACTTGGATGGCTGTAAATGAAGGGTGAGAAGCCTCTCAGCCCTGTACACAGGATTTCCTAAACAAGGAGCAAACCCCTTGTATCTAGTCACGGGATGAAGTAAAGCCAGTCGCGAGACGGCGAGGGCAAGGACCAAGGACAGTGGCCCCGACGAGGCTCTGAGGACAGTTCACACAGGCTGCCCTGCCCCGCCATGGGGGCCTCGGGGTGGCACCAGGAAGGGGGACGCAGTTGTTCCCAGAAGCTGGGCTTGGCCTGTCAGACTTCCCCGCTCCGCAGGGCACTTTGAAGCTTAGGTATTACATTTGGCAGAGGCAGCACAGTGGAATCTTTTGCAGCAGAGTAAGTCACCAAAGCAGACAGCAAATGCTGACACTGTTCCAGTTGCACGTGCTCTTAGTGAAGAGATCCCTCAGGGCGGCAAACTGTGCAGTCCATACCCACACCTGCTTTGTCTACCTACCCCGCTTATTTCGCAGCCATAAACACTCCATCTTCGCACACCTCCACCTCCTCCTCCCTCCTTCTCAAACTCTTCCTTTACACTCATCCCCCACCACCAGCCTCCTCTTGCCCCTCCATTCCCTTTATATTGGAGCATAAAACCTCAAGTCCATGAATGCCCGTTGTGGGACAGGGTCCAGGCTGTGCCATGTAAACTCACAAGATATCCCAGTTAACTGTGGAAAGGCAGCCAGGGCACACTCAGACCCCCAGTCTTCCAGGGATATCAGTATATCATCTAACAGCAGGACGAGTCCTTGAGGGGCTTCCTTTACCTTCTCATGAGCAGCTCCAGGTCAGCCACCTCCACGGTCTTCCTCCCTGCGTGCTGGCTGTAAGCCTCCAGATCATTGCTCAGCTGCTTAAAGTACCGCTCACAGCTGCAGGAGAAGGGAGGAAGAAAATAAAATGAGGCTGTGGAGCGTGTGAAACCAGGCGAGTGCCACTTGCACGGGCTGCCCTGCACTGCAGCCGTGGGCAGCATGACACGGCGGCCAGGGACGGCAGGAAAAGGGATGGCTTCTCAGCCTGGCTTCCTTACACCCCTGGGGACGCTGAATATGCTGATATCTCTAAAGGAGATGCACATTCAAAAGTCAAAACCTGCCTGCAGATTCACAGGCATGCAAACAGAATAGAGGTTACCACAAGTGACAAATGAAGACAGAGGATTATACTATTATAATACACCCCGTTTTCACAAAATCCCAGGATGGCTGAGGCTGGAAGGCACTTCCAGGGATCCCCCAGCCCAGCCCCTGCTCCAGCAGGGACACCCAGAGCACGGGGCACCCGCTCCCAGCCCGGCGCGTTGGCACATCCCCAGAGCAGGAGCCTCCGCAGCCTCCCTGGGCAGCCCGGGCCAGGGCTCGGGCACCCTCCCACCAAACAAGTTCTTCCTCACGGGCACACGGAGCTGCCTGCGCTGCAGCTGGCACCCACTGCCCCTTGTCCTGGCACCGGCCACCACCCAGAAGAGCCTGGCCCCTTCCTCCCTGCATTCCCCCTGCAGGTTCTTGTACACGTTGATCAGATCCCCTCTCAGCCTTCTCTTCTCCAGGCTGGACAGGCCCAACTCACCTGTCCTGGGGAGCCCAGAGCTGCCCCCAACGCTCCAGGTTTGGCCTCCCCGGAGTGGAGCAGAGGGGCAGGATCCCCTCCCTGCCCTGCATCCTCCTGATGCAGCCAGGAGCCCACTGGCCTCCTTGGCCACTGGAGCACACTGCTATTTTCCAGTGCCATCCCGCTCACTGAGAGTGCTAATGACCTTAGCAAGGTGGAATAGTGAGTAGGGCCATTTCTATCAGTTTGGACAAAAAACAGAAGCTTCTGCAAGGCGGTGCTGGTCACCCAGAGAGTGACTAAGAGCTCCCAGCAATTTCTGTCCCCTTTCTAATGGCCTTTCCTCCTGCTTTCTCCCCAGCTGAGGTAGGAAAGGGCTGAGGGAGGGCCAGCCACTGGCCAGCAGATGTGCCAAAAAGTTCACCTGTTGTTTCAAGAAAGAAAGAAAGAAGAAGAAGTCAAGAAAGGGGAAAGGAGGAACATCTGCTCACCATTTTTGGACAATCCCGAATGCCTCTCTGGTCACTGGCATTTTCACGTAATGGCTAAATATCTTCTTTATCAAACTGCTTGCTAGTTCAGGCTCGCGCTTTTTCCTCTGTGATGCCCCTGACTTCTTGGGAACTGGCTTAGCCCACAAGGGCTGCAGGGGAATAATCCTAAAAAAAAAAGAAAAGCAGAAATGAAATGATATTCCCACTTCCACGCAGTAGACAAGTGCAAAACAACAGAAAAGAGATGCTGAGGTTCAGGCTAGCATGTACAAAACCCATCATTAGATTCTCTCTGGACTAGCTACAATATTTTTCTGGCAGAACCTCAGAGGCAAATGAAAGATCAGCCCCAGAGATGAAGCAGGAGAGCGGTGAGACAAAGGCTGTCATGATTTAAGTGATTTTGGTCACAGCTTCTGTGCCTTAGTTCACCCACTCAAGAATGATTATTCATGAGTGTTTGCTTCACAAGAATGGGGCAAAATTGAAGGTCAGCCACTGTAGAAAGTTTAGTGTTTTTAAATGCAAAGTATGACTGTGCTACTCCAGTAGAGTTAATCATAGCAACTTCTTCTCTTCTATGAAAAGAAAGAGATTATTCTGCAGCACAGTGGATCCCCACGGTTCTCATATAGTTATTGCTCCACTTTGTAAATCAGAATATTGCTTGGGTTTTTAACCTAAATAATGTCCTCTCAGGAAACAAGCAGGCCAACCCAGAGCCACTGTAAATTACACAAAGTACAAACAAACCAAACACTTTCTGGCCAACCCCTTCCTGTAATCCAGCCTATTATTATGAACATCTGTTTTCTCATTGCTGCTTGAAAGCCTTAAGTCTATTAGCTTGAAAGTCAGAGGCTATTAACATTCACAGGTTTATATAAAGAATGTGCATCCAAATATATTGTCTTTTGCCAGTGAAGACTAGCATTCTGTACAGAAGAATTAGCATCCATACCCTCCCTATATGCAAAAAAAACACCCACATCCCAGTGCAAAATGCCAGAGCAAATCAATATTTATTCAGTTACAGTGCAATTCGACTTCAGCAAGGTATCATCACGGCTCCTTCTTCTATGACAGAAGGACATTCTATCATCTTGGGTAAGAACAATCATCCAGCACCTCTAAAAGCATCGCTCATCTTTGTTCACAACAGTATATGGTACAAGAATTCAGTTTGATTCTTTATTGATTCAATAAGAAAAAATAAAAAAACAAACAACCAAGCTTCTTCTGTTCCCTAGGACCACTGTTATGGGCTTCATCAAACTTCTGGGTTAGCAACAAGCTTCAATTTAACTTGGAGTCATGCAAAGGAATTTACTTTCTGCTCCTGACTATCTTCATCTTATGCTCCGAAGCAGCTCCTTTACAATTTTAGGTTTCCAAGGGCAAAACAAATGATGCCATTTTATGCGATGAGAGAAGCTGTAACCCTGCTCTGCAAGGGTCTATCTATGCCATACCAGAGCTTATGGCTCCGGGCCATCTTACCAATGCAGGAAAAGTCCTGGCCTTCAGCACAAGATTAAATGATCCGCTGGGAAGGCACAAGGCCTCAAATTTGCTCTGAAAGACCAAAATTCTCTCGATATATCATGATTTCTATTCAGCTGCTAAAGCCACATGTCAGGACCCCTTACTCCCTAGCTGATGAAGTGCAACACAACCCACGGAGCTGGCCTCCCTGCATTAGAAGACACCAGAAGAACTTCTCTCTCAGCTCCCCGCCCGGTGACTGCACCTCTCCAGACACACTTGCATCGGGCTATGGCTGATAGTTGCTTATACTCACTTGGGAGTGTCAGATTCGGCAGGAGGTGGAGTTGATGGCAAGGAAAGTGGCTTGTAAGCTGCAGCACGGATGAATGCAGGTGTCTTCATTGAAATATCTAAGGAGGGAAAGCATCAACGACTTGAAGAAGGGATATTTTCAGAGTTGCTGATACCCACAGCAGCTAAGGCTGCCAGGAAGCTCCAACCTGCCTTCCCAGAGGGCTGAGAACACCTCATTGCCCTCCTGTTAAGTAAGCATCCAATTCTCCTGATAGGCACAGCAACAAAAATCACAAGGGTTTGACTTACTGCCTGCCAGTTTTCTTTGCAGGCTTAGTACAGCCCAGGAATCCAGCCAATTTGGTACTGGTTTCAACCCTGCAAACCCCTCTAGGAGCCAGGGCACTGATCCTTTATAGAAGCCCAACTACTAGAACCCTCAATTACTACCGAGAGTTAAACCCAACAATTTAAAGGTCAAGAATCTTTCAGCACAAGTAGGACTGGGAAAACTCTTACGTTTCCTTGTGTTAGCCTCTTCTGACCAAGTATATCAACACATGTCAGGAAGAGGAAATAGGATGTAGGGGAATAGGCAAGTCATGCTCAGAGGTTTCTAAAGCACCTTTTATGATTAGGGAGCGTTCTTCCTCATCTCTTCTTCCTGCCTTCCTTCCTGCCCTTTTCCAGTAAGATAAGATGCTACTCCTACTGTTCCACCTTGTCAGCACTGCAGAGATCTCCCAAACAACTGGAGACTTGTCAATGTGATGCCCATCTACAGGAAGGGCTGGAGGGAGGATTTGGGGAACTACAGGCCTGTCAGCCTGACCTCAGTATCAGGGAAAGATATGGAGCAGATCATCTCGAGGGTGATCACACAGCACGTGCGTGACAACCAAGGGATCAGGTCCAGCCAACGCGGCTTCATGAAGGGCAGGTCCTGCCCCAAAAAACCTCATCTCCCTCTATGACCAGGTGACCTGCCTAGTGCATGAGGGAAAGGCTGTGGACACGCTCCCCTTAGACTTCAGTTAGGCCTTTGACACCATCTCCCCGTGTCCCACTTACTTATCACTGTGTCCCACTGTGACTCAATGACCTTAAAGGTCTTTTCCAACCATAATGATTCCATGATTCCTCCTCACTGCACAAAAAGCTATGCTAAAGACAAGCATGTTGGCACACTGCTGTAGACAGCTCAGCTAAAAACACCTATAGCTTTTCTCTTGGCAACAGCGTAGCTGTCCAGTTGCCTCGCTCTGTCTGAACTGCCCACACGCACAGATGTTCTCAACACAGCTACATAGCCCCACAATGCCTCAAATCCCAAAAAGACTCTTTTAGGAAGCCTTTCTTCACATTTCTCATTGCAGGATTTACTGTACACGGAAAGATCATCCCAAAAGTTACCACTGATGTGCACTCCAGGCAATCACATACATGAGGAGCAGAACACTCAGGTCTCTAAAAAGCAGTCTAACCATAAATACTCTTGAGCAATGGAGCAGTGTCTAAAGAACAGTTCAGCTTCCTCCCAGCTTCCTGGGACTATTATACTATTAATAGTCAGCATACTATTTTAGTTAAATGGAAAGGAAAATCTGTTAACTGCACACACCAGACATGGGGCTCTAAATTACCTTCCAGAACCATGCAAGTGGCTCTGCAGTTCTATGTTCAGACATTAAAAAGCCAGTGTAAGGACAGATTTCTCTAAGTCCCTATATAAACCCATTAGGCATTAAGTCTTGTATAACAAGAATGTCAAAAAATACAAGATTGTCAAAGTTTCTGGAACGCCTGACACAAGCCAGAAGAAAACTTGCACTTCTCACTGGCTCTAGGAAGAGCAGCCAACAAGTTCACCTGTACTATCTAAAGGACTAAATACTAAATCAAATGGTTTGTCTGTATTAGTCTGCGACTTATTGTCAGATACCAGGGAAACTTTCTCCATCAGCCTTCTGCAACCACAGCAAAAGTTTTCTTACCTCGACTCTCACGCTCTTCAATTTCAGCTTCATCATCAGTTGTCACTTCTTCTATATCTGCTACTTCTCCTGTGGCAGCCCTGTCATGTGGCGTGCCTGCTTGTTCAGTGGTTTTTTTAAGTGATTTTTCCCCAGATTCTTCAAAATATTGAGAGGAAAAAGCACGAGAATGCCTGTTCAGACTTCCAGTTCCAAAACTTCTGGCAATCTGAGGTTCTAGATTCCAAAACAGAAAAAAACAAAAAAAAAACCACACATCACCATAACAAGTGACTCAAATACGCAAGCCCCAGAATGCAGGGAGAGTTAATAAAGCTCCCTCCCAACAATGATTTCAATAACCAGCTTGTTCTCACCAGCTTTGGGAGAGTCTAGGTGTTCAATGTTCCCTTCTGCTGCTTCTGAAGTGATCATTTCTATCTCGACTCCGGCTTCCTGTGCCTTAGTTACCTGTGATTCTCTCTTTTTTGTCAGCTTCTTCTCCGACTGTTGTGAATATCCAGCCTTTGCGTGTTCACCTGGAGCTAAAATAGGAAATTCTATCAATCTCATCTCCAAAAGCCTCACCAACTACCAGCACACAATTCAATAACCTTTGAAACTTAATCAGAAGTAAACTCAGCAATAACCAAAAGCTACAAACAAGTATTTCCTGCCCCCTTCCAAAAATTAAAGCCTAAAAATACACAACTTCTTTTGTTTGCTCCAGAACCATCCATCTAATGTTCATGTCAACTTCCTAGGAAGGAAAGAAATTCACTTATCACTGATCGGACCTCTTCAAAATTTCACATCTATATGTCTATTCTCACTTTGGATGATTTTGTGGAAGGATCAATATATTTTTTCTTTATACCTAGTAATATCTAGAGTCTGTGCTAAGACTCCTGCGAGTATTTTTACCTCCTATAGTTTGGTATAACCTGCCAGCTTTTAAGGGTGATTTGCTTCTCTCTATTTCCAGCACTGGGAAAAGTTTGAATGATTTGTTTGCTGAATCACCTTCTCCATGCTGTTCAAGAGGGTTTTTTTGTTTCTTTCTAAACTTCCTACATTTCACTCTTGCATCAATTGTCTCTTTTCCAGGCTGAGGAGTCATTTTCTATAGTCACAGAATCCCAGAATGGTTGGGGTTAGAAGGGACCTCTAGGGATCATCCAATCCAACCCCCTGCTCCAGCAGGGACACCTGGTCACGTCCAAGTGGGCTTGGAAGATCCCCAAAGAAGGAGACTCCACAGCCTCCCTAGGCAGCCGCTGCACAGAAACTGCTCCGTATATTCAATCATCATTCCTGGTAACCAGGTTTTGCTGCAGCTTCTCTAGTCCTGTTAAATCTATTTCGAGATGGAGAGATTAGAACGTAGACAGTGATGTCCGCTTTGCCATCTCTCCCTTTCATCATCATTTTTACATGCTATTTGCCTTTTTGACCATCCCCAAAATTTAGACTGATGTTCATAAAACTTCAACAATTCTGTGGACATTCTCCTCAGCCTTAAGAGAGATATCTCATTTAAACTTCACACTTCGGAGGGGTCTCACGACCAGAATACCTCTCCTTATTTTATTCTTTAATTATTTGTTTCTGTGGCCCTTCTGACAATGGTCATAAATAAATAATAATAATAATAATAATAATAATAAAACAGAATGAAAAAGAAGTATTAGCTGTCTGTACTTCAAGCAAAATACTGTATGTTTTCCACGCAGAACTGCACCAAGTTACTCACTAAGCTAGACCTTGTCCTGGCAAGTTGACATGTCACTGAGCCAAAAATGCCAGGGTTACACACATGCCTTGGTGCCCAGTCTATACAGAATGAGGGACATGCTGTCACGTACAGCACAAGGGGTTACAGGCGAGCGGACACAAAGGAGATACACTGAACATCAAAGGGAAAATTGGAAAATCATGGGAACTACAAAGCATTGGAACGAGGGAGGTGCCTACCTCCTAAAAAAGGAGTTTTCAGGTGCCAAAGGCAGTTAGGAGAGTAGGCATGACATATACAAAACCTAAACAGGATAAAGGTTTAGGTTGGTAACCTCCTTAGGCTCCTCCTAACTCTGCCTACACAGTGTGCCATAATATCTGAGCACATAATGTTGGTCACAGTTGACCAACTGCAATCTGACCAGTTGCAGATTCCATCTTCTGCCCCCAAGTCCTAACCCACAGCACTCACCCCCAGCCACCACTTCCTCTGGTACAGAGAATAGCTCCACGAGCTCACTCTGGTGGGAATGACCTTGATGACCATCTCCCTGGCTCACAGATGTTTTGGGGGACACAGGGGTCATTCTGTCAACACTCTCATAATCAATTATTAGATTTTTCTCAGAATATCGGTGGGTCCTTCCCCCATCTGTGGCCACACTGGATTCCAGGCCCACCAGCTTCGCCTCCTCAGGAACTGCATCTACCGTCTTGCTGTTTTGTGCTGAAATTTTCGAATCTGGTAGCTGTGGTTCAAGAGTAGAAGGTCTGTGTGGATTTTCTTCACCAGCCTGAACGAAGAGCTCTGTGTTACTCAGCACAATCTCTGCGTCACTTGTCAGCACGGTTCCTCTAGTCATGGATGCTGCTGAAGAGTCCACAAGGTAGTTCTGGGCTGGTTAGGAGGTTTTAGAAAAATTCAATGTGAAAACTGTTCAAGGCCACTAGTAAACACAGTAATTACCAGCGCTTGCATAATGTGAAATCTACGTCATCTATTCATATTTAATCCCTCCTCTGCAGCCCAGACACTGATCCTCCGTAACAGCCCCTTTCTTTAGCAAACTCTTTCCCCACTACCCATATTTAGGATCGCGATCCCAAACAGGATACAATACTTGTCTGCAAATTACCAAGCTGGATAGAGCACACGTTAATGCACATTAGCATGTTAAAGCAAGTACGGATGTAAAGCCTCAATTCTAATAATATTACAATAAATTAATAATTTGGAATGCCTCCCAAATTATATTAGATGTTTATGAACATGTTGATAAACCTAAATCCTACATACAAGACACATTTCGGCAACTGCTTCTAAGCCATCATCTTCTGTAAGACTCTCCCTCCCAAGACAGAAGTAACAACATAGAAGAAACCTTTTCTCTGCAGCATGTTCTGTTCCACTCCACCTTCAAAAGCTTCCACGTCGATAGCTTTGCGTTTTTTTGGCCTCCGGAGTAAGCCCCTCTTTTCCACAGTGTCTGGTGGGATCAAGGAGCCAAGAGACATGCGAAGAGACCTGTAAAAAAGAGGAGAGGAGGATGGAAGATATAAATCTCCAAAGTAAATCTCCCCTTTTACTCTCAGACTGCAGACATAGTGCCACTAACAGGGCACAAGTCCTAGCTAACCAATATTTCCCACAAGAACTTGATGAACCTTATGCAACTCTATTTTAAACAATTCCTTTTAACTTGCTTATGTCACCCAACATCACATAAATGGGAAATCAAATTGTTTTTGCATTTTCCTACCCAAAAAGGGCTGCAAAATTATATTTGACAAAAGGTTCAGGAATCTTAAAGACTTTAAATAATGAAAGAAATAAAACAGATGTTTAATAGAGAGTATAATAAAGAGGATGTCCTCTAGATAGGGGTCAGAGAAGGAGAAGGCCTTAAGACCTTAAGAGTAAGTCTAAGAAAATGCTTAGTACGGACATATCCTCAGTATTCACAGCAAATTAGACTATAAAGTTTTCAGGATGGGGACAACATGTCAAGAACTGGAACGAGCCACGCTCTGCCATCTGTTGTCTCTCTCACTTGGTAGCCCCGTCAAAAAGGGGATTCAGGAGGATTAAAATATAGGAAGAACTGCACGCAGCCTTATAGATTAGCCTACACAGAACAACAAGCAAAGTCTGAGGTGAGAAAGGAGGTAAAAATTGATAACCATGGCCAGGATCCCTAGGAAAATTCAAGGACAACACAGCGAAGGAAATTCTTCACCTTTTTAAAACCATTTTAAGTCCAGGAATGCTGGACTCATTAGTGCACTGACTTGAGTGATCTGATGCGTCAACTAGCAGGTAAAGATAATATTTTAAATTATATCGTGTACTGATTTACTGTTGGGAACATGAAACAGGAAGAAAAAAAGAAGTAAAATGAGGGGAGGGGGCATCTCTTCAGACAGGCAGGAGCAATCGTAGCAATACAAGCCAGACCAATCTAGACATGCAATGCAAAGGAGAAAAAAGCATCAGTCCCAGAACGGTTGAGGTTGGAAGGGACCTCTAGAGAAATTAAGACAATCAGGGTTAAACTCACCTGGCCAACGAAGTGTTGTCCAACGCTGACTGAGCTAAAAAAAGTTGGTGACACGTTAACCAATAAATTAATCCCTGCACAATGATCTACAGAAATAACCCAACAGAATTTCTGTTTTTTTTTTTTTTAGAATGAGTTATGCTACAATCCTCAAAAGTGACATTTTGGTGAGAATATGAAAAATGTTCTCATTCTCATAGTATTAATCTCACCACATTAACAGCAAGATGCTAGGGCCTCATCACAACAATCTTTTGCTCACGCTCTACTAAAGAGATGTTATTTCTCTTAAAAAATGTGTACAACATATTACTTGTAATATATTGTAATATATTACAATATTTTTTTCTAAAAATTCTTTTTCCTCAAATAATAAACATAAAATGTATGCTAGTTGTTCTGTCTTCAAGTTTCTGGAAGGGAGTGCAATACTGGGACTGCTGTTTCTATTTGGGAAAAATTTAACTCAGGAACATCAAAGTGGAAAAATACAGCAGAAGTCACATAAAATCAGGGTAGAGCCTGTAGCTTGGCTCAAATGATGGGAAGGGCTTTTACCTTCTCTGCTATCCCCCTTGCACAAGTTTCTTTAGCCCAGCTGAGATGTTACTAAGAACTAAACTGTGGCAGATAAAAAGAATCCATTAAAACAAATGCAATGCTGAGCGGCTGAGCAAAACGAGCCTTACTTTGATTCTGAGGAAGTCGCTTGTCTGCTTCTCTCTCAAATTCCGAGATGCTGAACTTCTTTTTCTTCCTTGTCATCTGGAATGCAGGCACAGATGTATCCTCAGGTACAAAGCCAGGTAGCTGCATTTCCATCCTGCCAATATAAATCAAGCTTTTAGCAATGGAAACACTTATCACTCTAGATATCACGGAGAGATTCCTGCAATGTTGCTGAAAAGTAAATGGAAATTACTATCCTTGCAGGAGAAACACAGAATCAGGCAGTAATTTGCTCAGTAAATGCAGGAACATGTCAGAAGGAAAACCTGAGTGTGTATTTGAAACAAGAGGCCCGTGACACTTCAGCCTGTATTGAAATTTTAGACTTTCCAGAAGTTCAACTCCTTTCTCGTAACAGCACACTGCAGTACGTTTATCAAACATTACTGCATGAATGAAAAAAGCCCCCATCACAAAACAAGACAAGCATCATCATGAAACACTGTCCTTTGCTCCAATAAAGGTGTCTTCGACACAGCAAGAACTGTCAAGTGTTGAAGTTTTGGGTCCTTTCCCCTTAAAAAAGAATATATTCTCTACCAGTCAGAAGTGTAACTGAATTTCATTATTTGTTATTAACATAATGTGAGGATTAGAATTAACTAGCTTGTAACCAGAAACAAATGTAAAGCAGTGGGGAACAAATATTGCTTGTTCTTTGCAGCTCGTGTGGAATATCATATTACAGATGGGGAAAGCAGTGCACTCACAAGCTCAGGAAAGCTCATGCTAAGTAAAGGAATGCTCTGGGGGAAGGTTTTTGTCTGTTTTAAATGGCTATAGACAAATTTTCTCTTAACCTTCAAAAGGAGCTAACATATACAAAAACCTGCAAAGAACCACATGCCTGATCTATTTGGTTAAAAGATTGGTGAGAAGCACATTCAAAGACTTTCAGGAATGATACGGGCAACATCAGGAGGTGAAATAATACTGCTCCTATTTAAATTAAAATAAGCTATCACACCAAAAACCTTCAGACTTTCTTGCTTTATTAAACAAGGAGAAACCTACAAATCAGTCTAATATTTTTATGACTTGTTGAAGATTGCTTATTGTCAATACAAAATGTTTATATCTAAAGAGAAAACAAAGTAAATTGCATGACTTAAAAGTCTACTCTACTTTGCAGTGAACAAAAAAGCAGATAAGTGCTCTGACAGAAGTGGCTGGAGCAAGTTAAGACCTACCACCACTGTGGGCATTACTCTACCTCATAACTAAGTCAGCAGAAGGACATGTGCTGTATTCCAGCTGCTCCAACTCAGTCCAGGCTAGTAGCCAGAAGGCTAAACGTGAGTAAACGCATCTGAGCTGATGCTCAGGCACACATCATCTCCAGGCAACTCCACAAAAAAAGAAGAAAACATGACAAATCAGAAGCCTCGGCCTGTAGCCTTAGAGAAGCCCAGAAACTATCATTTTGGATTCTGTCATACAAATAAACAAAGGAGGCTTCCATCAGGAAGCTTAAACTTGCTGTATCCAGCCCTTCCATTGGAAAAAAACCTACTTAAATTCTGCAAATGGAAGAAGGGGCTAAGTATAAAACTTAGCACGCCTTAAAACATAACACACAAAATAAATATTTTTAAACCTGGAAATATGTTTCCGAAAATCCTGCATGACAGAACACAGGTTTGATCATTTAAATAGAACTATATGAGTCCTGCTTTGCAATTCATCAGTGTTATGGGAACTGCATCTTTATATAGTAGATTTTAAAAAAAAAAAAAAAGTTCTTACGTGTTGGAAATCCTCTTAGAGGGTGGTTCTAATGCAGACTCTTCCGTTTCTTCATGTTTAGATACCTCAAGCGCTAGAGGCGAAACTTTTGCTTCTGCCAACAAACCAAATTTCAATCCATCAGGAACGTTAAAACATAACAAATACACACTGATTTCCTTAGATTATATTTATTAATGGATGAAAATAGAGAGCTGGTGAAAACAAGCTGGGATCTGCTGCTGGAAAAACTGTCACATGTAAGGCACATAGCACAGCATTCCACACAGTGCAGTCGATGTGGACTGGAGTTCGCCACAATGAGTGCCTCTTAACTTACACATGATCTTAAAGGCAACAATAAAATTACTTGTTTTTTTCCACTGGATAAGAAGAACTGAGTGAAGAGAGTTTCCAAGAACATGTTTTCATCAATGTAAGACCTGGTCTTTGAAACAGAGCTGTCTCCTATGACCTGAATGCAGCTGTCGCCACAATGACCTCTCCTCTTTTATATAGCTGGACATAAAATCATCTGAATTTCTGCTCTGTACAACAGGCTAAGAATACCAAGCTACAAATGAAAATCTTCTCTAGTTTATTGAAGTATTGTACTTCTCTACTTTCCCGGAAAAAAAAAAAGAAGAAAGAAAAAAAAAAAAGATGTTTTACTTACGGGTCTGGATGATTCTTTTGAGCATAAACCGTGGAGTGCCATTATCAAGATCAGGCAAAATAGCTGGTCTCTGCTTCAGCAAGATGCTTCTACCAAAATTACTTTCCTTTTTTGATTCAGATGCAGTCTATAGAAAGAAAATGAAGACATGCAATTCGACATCTCATCTTCATAACTAAAAATGAATCTTTGGTTTAAAAAAAAAATAACTCAAAAATCTACCATCTAACAAAAAGCTAAGCTAGTTAACAAGCAATACTTTTGAAAGTCTTCCAAAGAAAATCATGTATATTTGCTTTGTAAGAATGCTATCAGTTCAATTTTGGATGGAATACAATTCATTACAGTACACCATCAAGACAGGTTTTGATGAATAGCTCTAAACATGGATAAAAGCCTCGGGGATTCACCAGCACCGAGTGTGTCCTTTTCTCTTTTACAACCCTGACCTAAATAAAAACCAAAAAGGAGAAATAAAGGAAATAAACCCCAGGCCGTAACTGCCCTGTCGGGCAGCTGATCCGACGACTGGCTTGGTGCACGAGGAGAGAAGAGCGGGTGTTGCTTATTCCAACGCTATTAAGGGTTTCGGGACTCTGCCCTAACACCCTTATCGGGCGGCTGACCACGCGTGGCCTGGGTGAGCAGGGCGGCCTCGGGAGCCTGGCCGGCACAGGGGCACCGCATCAAGTTCAACAGAGGGAAGCGGAGAGGCCTCCATATGTGGCGAGAGTGTCACACGCAAAGGACTTAGCACGAAAACAGACTGCTGCTTATGAGGAAAGGTTGGAGGAGCTGGGGAAAAAAAGGGAAGGTTTGGGGCAATCTTATCGGTGTGTATAACCAGCTGACAGGGCCAGACTTGTCCCAGTGGCACTCAGGGATGGGATGAGAGACAACTGGCATAAAGCAAAACACAGGAAGCTCCTGAATCTTAAGGGGAAAAAAAAAAATCTTCTTTATGACAAGGGTGGTTGAATGCTGGAAAGTTTCCCAGGAAGGTGCTGGGGTCTCTGTCCTTAGAGATACCCAAAACCTGCCTGGGTAGGGTCCTGCGCAGGGGGCCTGGCCTTGTACTTGACCTTCCAAACCCTCTTCCGAAGCCAGCCTTCCTGCCAGCTTGGGAAATGCGGGAGAATGAGGCACGTTCCCCAGCCTTCAACACTAACAAACGTGAAGACCCACGCTGGCCTCCAGGTCCTGCCGCGAGCAGCCCGTTTTCGCCTTACACCGGACGAGGACAGGCCCGGCGCGGCTCGGCCAGGCCGGCGGCAGCAGCGCCGTGCCACGGGCCGGGCTCCCGCCGCCTCCGCGCCGCCCGCCCGCCGCTACC